ATTTATTTATTTAAGACAGAGACAGAGAGCACATGAGAGGGGGGAGGGTCAGAGGGAGAAGCAGGCTCCCCGCCGAGCAGGGAGCCCGATGCGGGACTTGATCCAGGGACTCCAGGATCATGACCTGAGCCGAAGGCAGTCGCTTAACCAACTGAGCCACCCAGGCGCCCAACTTTATCAATCACAACTATTCAGGGCTCTGGAAACATACATATAAGTGGACTCCCAGAAGGAGTGGGCAGAGAAAAACAAACAGAGACAAAACACCCCCAGAAATTATGGCCAAAATGTCCCACTCTGATTAAAAAAGAAAAAAATTCAACTACACATCCAAAAATCACAACAAACTCCAACTAAGATATATATACAAGGAGATACACAGCTAGACTCATCATTAAATTGTTAAAAGCCAAAGATGAAGAGCAAAATCTTGAGATCAGAAAGAGAAAATGAAATGTGTGTACAAGGGAACCACAGTAAGTTTAATAGCTGGCTTCTCATCAGAAACAAAGGAGTAGAGCTATACTGGAACAATATTTCCACATTTTACTAAAATTCCATTATTAATCTGAAGTAAAGACTAAGCAACTAAGATGCATTCTGTAACCTATAATGTAGTCACTAAGAAAATAATTTTTCAGATATTAAAAAAAAAAATCAATGGGATTAAAATGGTATACTAGGATAAAAACAGTAGAGAAACAGAAAAACAAAAAAGGTGGCATATAGAAAACCAAAAGCAAAATGGAAGACGTAAATCCAAATACAGAATGACATTAAAAGTAAATGGATTAAATACTCCAAAACACAGAGATGGAGGCGCCTGGGTGGCTCAGTTGGTTAAGCTACCGCCTTCGGCTCAGGTCATGATCCTGGGGTCCTGGGATCGAGCCCCGCATCAGGCTCCCTGCTCCTTGGGGAGCCTGCTTCTCCCTCTCCCTGCTGCTCCCCCTGCTTGTTCTCTCTGTCAAATAAATAAATAAAATTAAAAAAAAAAACGCAGAGATGAAACAGATGAATGGATAAAGAAGATGTGGTATATATATGATGGAATATTATGCAGCCATCAAAAAAGAAATCTCGCCATTTGCAACAATGTGGATGGAACTAGAGGGTATTATGCTAAGCGAAGTAAGTCGATCAGAGAAAGCCAAGTATCATATGATCTCACTGATACGAGGAATTCTTAATCTCAAGAAACAAACTGACGGGGACGCCCGGGTGGCTCAGTCGGTTAAGCGTCTGCCTTCAGCTCAGGTCATGATCGGGATCGAGTCCCACATCGGGCTCCCTGCTCAGCGGGGAGTCTGCTTCTCCCACTGACTGCTGCTCCCCCTGCTTATGCTCATTCTCTCTCTT